GGGAACATGACATCGCGAAACAAGAACCTTCCTACAGAGACATAGATGACATCGGGGTTGATGGAGGCACAAGAGAGGGAGGCCTGTGTGGAGTCAGTCCTGCCATCACCATCTCAGACAATTGAGGATTCATGGGAGTCCTCGAGATCCGTTGAAAACAATGCGATCTGGGTTTCTAAGTTTGATGAGATTTTTCTGGATCTCTGGAAACCAATTATCAAGTATGAGTTTTCTCATCTCGTGACGACTACAGGTCGTAAAATTTCAATTCTCACTGAAATTCGATGGGACGCTTCTAGTGTGGTGGGAGAGACAGAAAATGGACATACCTTTTATTCTGTGAGATTTTAGCTAACGGATGTGAGAGGTAAATAGTGCTTCACCTGATTTATGGCGTTGTGCTTTCCACTGATATGAGAGCTTCTCGTGCTGATAACGTGTTATAAAATTGACGGTGTGTGCAGTGGAATAAATGAAACAAGACACAAAATTTAAGAGGTTCCTCTACAGTTAGTGTGACTGGAGTATATCCTCGGGGTAGCAGTGATACTTTCATCGAGAGTCTGAAATAATAGTAGTACAAAAATAACTCTCTTTATTATTTCATCTCCTCTTCCTCTTTTCTCTCTCTTCCTCTTTTTTGAATTTCCTTACTTTTGATGTTGTGGGGAGTTTGTATTTATATGGAAAATAGGAGTCGTGTGAAGCAAGCCTCGAAAGGGCAAATTGCCCATTATTTAATTCTTTGAGTGAACATCCACTGTTCTACAACAGTTATGATTTTTTTTTTCAAATATTTTTTACTTGTATAATGAGTGTTCGTGTTCTAAGCACACTTAAAATATTTCCTATTTAATGGAAAGCAAAGTTTCATCTTTTGTGAGACAACCCATCAAAAGAAATAAAATTATAGTAAAATTAGACTTATTTTTTAGTATGCCCGATGTAAAACTCCAATTTAATCTTACTTTACTCCTTAAATGTCCTATTTCTCAACTTTGCACCTTAAACCTCATACTTCTCCACTTTGCACCTTCAAATTCAATTTTCATTTCACTTTGTCATTTTCCGTCAAGTCTATCAATAAGTCTATTTAAAATTTGACATGGCATGAGTAAGGACCACTTAACTGTTGATATGGTTGCCACATAATTCCTATGTCACTTAATTGTAGAGCTTGAAAAATGTATCACTTTTGTCTCCTTATACCTTAGTTTTCTTCATGGCGTTGGATCGCCTAGTCGACATTCAAGATGGAGAGAAGGAGAGACCTCAACCATCATAATGAGATGGAGAGAAAGGCAAACGTCATATTTAGGTCGAGACTCACTTAAATATTATAAATGATGGATTGGATGAAAAATGTCAAATTGAAGCGAAATTGAGTTTGAAAGTGCAAAGTGACAAAATTTGAATTTCAAGAAGTAAAGTGAGATCACAGCTAAGTTCTAGGGCATATCAAACAATTATTAAAAAAATTAGAATTTTTTATTTTATCAAGAAAATGGTCCAATCAATTTCTATATTTTTTTTTATTTTTCCTACAGTCACGGATAAATTTATTTCTCTTCATATTAATTTTAAATCTTTTAACAAGAAAAATGATTTTCACACTCATATTCTCTACTCTCACAGACTTCGTTTCATTGCTATTTCATATAAGAAAATGGATGATTGCCCAAACTGCCACTGACTAGTACGCATCACAGATTGCATCACATACAAATGTTGGAGCAGGTCTTGGTATCACAACTGTAGGTTTAAGGCAAGTGGTGTTGAGAGCCAGATTCACGCTTCTATCATCACCAATCTGCCATTTTGATCCTTCCACAAATGTTTTTCTTTCGTGCAATAGACTTGTTTATATCAAAGAAGGCATGTAGCCTCTAGATGTTGTAAGTTAATCACCATGTGGTAAATATTTGCCTTTCAACACTTTAAACCAAAAAGCATTTGGGAGTATCTACAGTGTGTAGCATTATTTTGCAGGAAGGGCATCATAAATTTTCAAGTTCTCGGAAGCCCATACGCATTGGCACATTACTTTAAATCAAAAGAGAATCATTAGACAAAAATTAGCACACATATATAAAAATCATATCCCTTTCACAATACCACTTGAAATGAACCAAGGAACTATAATCCCCATAGCCTAACTATAAAAGTGTTTATTTTGATTCACACAAATTACATTTATCACAAAATAGATTGAGAAAGCAAATAATAATAATAATAATAATAATAATTAAGATTCAAAGCTATAAATGTTATCTTAAGTGAGATTCAGTTTTAATTGGTCGAATTAGAAATTTCTCATTTGGCTACGTGTCCATATATAAATGGTGGGTTATGTGTGTTAAAAAGTTAATAACTTAAAAATTAAATTTTTTTACCACTTACACAAAAACACATGGTGTAACATCTGTGTTTTCGTCACAATTAAAAATTTCTCCAAGAGGCATTCACAATTTTTGTCCGAACACTCATAGAAGCTTCCTAACAGTTGTTTAATGTCATTTTGAAATCTCATACCCATTTTCATACGTCTTTTCTCAATGTTCTAAAAGGTGACTTTAGGTGGTAGCCAGCTGGTCACTGCTATAATTAGTCTCTAGACATTTAAAAAATTAAATAGGGCCTAAGTGGGCCTAGGCAGGCTATATACGACTTTTCTTTTGTTATTTTCTTATTTTGTTAAAAAATTTAGAGTCACGACTTTCTCTTTTAGACAAAAAAAGGAAACCCATACTCTTTCTCTCTACGACTGCATGCGTCTCCATTTGCCATAGTCTCGTCCTTGCTTTTAATAAATTCTAGTACTTTATAATTTATATAGTTTGTCATTTTACATTTTATGTTTCTAGATTATAGTATAAGTGAACATTTACTATATTATATAATAGATTTAATTAAAATAAAGGGTAAATATCAGTTTACTATCCTCATGTTTCGTGGTTTTTAACATTTAGTACATCAAATTTTTTTCGTCCCATAATCGTGCCTAAAGTGTTAATTTTGGGACAGTCTTATACATAAAAAAAAAAAAAAAACATAATGTAACTCATAACGTCGCTTCACCCGCAAACTTCTCTTTCACTATTCGGTCCCACATGCCCAACTTTCTTCCACTCTTCTTTTTCACCCAATGCTACAACAAGCTTGACCAACCAAAATCCAAAGCAATGTTCGACAAATCTCTAGTGGGCATAGAGTAAAGGTCTAGGCCTATGTGGTTTTTTATTTTAGGGTAAATATCAGTTTACTTCCCTCATTTTTCGTGGTTTTTAACATTTAGTACATCAAGTTTTTTTCGTCTCATAATCATGCCTAAAGTGTTAATTTTGGGACAATCTTATACATCTGTTAATCAAACTGTTAAATTTACCATTAACTGATGACGTGGAGAGAATGGAGGGTGGTGCAGGTTGTAGAAGAGAGAAGGGAATGAAAGGGTGTGGGTTGCAGAAGAGAGAAGGGTTACGGTGTGCAGTCTGCAAATTAATTTTCTAGGGTTTGGTGGGTTGGTGCAGAAGAGAGAATGGAAGGATAAGGGAGGAAGGAAGAGCGAAGGGAGGGTGGTGCAGGTTGTAGGTTGTAGAAGAGAGAGGGAGGGAAGCGGTGCGGGGGGTTGGGGGAGGTAGAAGACAGGTTTTTTTTTTTTTTTTTTTTTAACTCTTTCTCCAAAAAAAATCCACGTGGACCCCTTAATGACATGTGGCACCCAATCATTATCCACATAGGCGCCAAGTCATCAGTTAACGGCAGACTTAACAATTTGACTAACGGATGTATGTGACTATCCCAAAATTAATACTTTAAGTATGACTCTGGGACGAAAAAAAACTTGATGTACTAAATGTTGAAAACCATAAAATATGAGGGTAGTAAACTGATATTTACCCTAAAATAAAAAACCACATAGGCCTAGACCTTTACTCTATGCCCACTAGAGATTTGTCAAACATTGCTTTGGATTTTTGGTTGGTCAAGCTTGTTGTAGCATTGGGTGAAAAAGAAGAGTGGAAGAAAGTTGGGCATGTGGGACCGAATAGTGAAAGAGAAGTTTGCGGGTGAAGCGACGTTATGAGTTACATTATGTTTTTTTTTTTTCTTCAATGGGCTAAGATTATGTTAAGAGAAGCAATTTGTGGTGCGTTTGTGCACCAAATTATCGCAGGCTGAATTAATTTCAAAGATCCAATTATTTATTCCTCATTTCAGAAGGGTAGTATATTGTTTATTCCTCTGTTTCTCCGTTCGACTCTCTCCCTCCCATCACTTCTTTTTCTCCGATTTTTTGATAGATCTTTCCTGCAAAATGCATAATCGGGAATCCTCAATTTCGTTGATTCCAACATAATTTTGAATATTTAAATCATGATCTATTCATAGTGCTTTTGACGTTACGACTTCCCCTCAACAGTTGTATTGCTGCAATGGTGCTCCTTTGGCGGTTCGATGGATGAAGGAATGATCTGATGTGAAATCTCCAACATTCTTGACCTCTAGTATTCCTTCAAGGCGAAGATGTGTGAACTGGTCCTAGACGAAGCAAAGCAGACGGGTGTAGCGGTTTGATGCTTTTTGAGGGGTCTTGCTAAAACATCATGGTGATGGATTTAGTTGAGGTAAGTCTTCCTTTGTTCCATTAAACTTAGTCATGTCTGTAACAAACACTAGTCTACACTAACATGTAATTCAATGCAATCCGGTTAAAGTTAATGATGGCAAACAAATGCATCCTTAGTGAGTATAAATGGTGGCTGACATCAGATCTACAACAGAGATGTGGTGAAGGTGGGGTGGTGGTTGGGGAGTATTTTTGCTCACCATCATTTAGTGTGGTGTATGCTCACCACCCTATTTATTACCGTTAGATGAGTTTGAATTTCGAGATTCGTGTAGTAGATAGGCACAAATCTCGAAATTCAAACCCATCTAATGATGATAAATAAGGTGGTGAGCATACACCACACTAAATGGTGGTGAGCAAAAATGCCATCGTGGGTTGGTGTGAGGTTTATGAAAGTCCCAAATAAATTCATCATCCTTGTTTGACAATATTAGAGAACGTGATACTTAATTTCTAGACATTTCAACAAATGGTTAAAATAATTTACCCACAATTAAAGACCAATCTAGCTGATGAGATCTAGTTCCCTGATCAGCTAAAGGAAACGGGTGAACCTAAATATTTTGGATAAATGGTTTTAGTCGAGCGAACTTAAAAGTGAGGGGCAAAATGTAAAGTTAAATGATAAATGTAAAGTTTAACAAAAACCAAAATGTGGGGAACTTAAAAGTGAGGGGCAAAAAGTAAAGTTAAATGATAAATGCATTTAAGGGTAAATGTAAAAGATTAACTAAAATGTGGGTGTAAATAAATATTCCCTTAAATTAAAAGAAAATCGGAGGCAAGGCCCAGGGATTGAAAAGTATGCAAAGGGCAAGGCCCAAAGGGTGGGCGGCGGTGGCAATAGGCAATAGGGGTTTTGGAAACGAGGGGAGAAGAGAGAATTCAGGGACAGATGATAATGGCAGTGGCACTGTCAGGGTGGAAATTGTGGTATTCATATTCATGGGGTTTAAGAGTAGTAGGGGGAGTAGGTGGTGTTTCAAGAAGCAGTGGCAGAGCAGCTGCTGCTGCTGTAACACTAAGAAGAAAGGAAAGCTTCAGCAACTGGGCGTGGTCCCAAAAACATCCACCACCGCCACAATCCTTCTTCTTCGTACGGTGCTCTAAGTATGGAAGCAGCAGCAGCAGTAGCAGCGTCAGTGCTAGTAATAGTAATGGGCCTAATGGCTCCAATGTCGGAAAAAGATATCTGGAATCTACGGACCAAGAGCTGATGAGCCAGTGCCAAATGGACACTTTCAAGACGTCTGGTCCGGGGGGTCAGCACCGTAACAAGCGAGAGTCTGCCGTACGCCTCAAGCACCTCCCCACCGGTATTACTGCGCAGGTGATCCATTGCTCGTCTCGATCTCTCTCTCTCTCTTCGTAGTCAATTCAATTAATTGGAATTCCAATTCTTATTTATTAGGCTGCGGAGGACCGATCCCAGCATATGAATCGTGCCTCAGCCTTGGCTCGCCTTCGCACTCTTATAGCTCTCAAAGGTGAACAACTTCATTCCCTGTCAATATTCTTCTTCTTCTTATTATTATTTTTAATTATCAAATTGTTATCTTATGGAACTATTCTATTCTAGTCTAGTCAGGAACACCGTCGATCTCGATGCTTACCCCTCCTCGAGAGCTTCTTCAAATTCTTCCCCCAAAGTCTACCATCAGAGGCTCAGATTGTGGTCCCCAAATTGGTCCCAACAATCCTAAGTTCATTTTGGTATGTTAATTCTCTTATATTAAGTCATTCTTTCTACTATCGTCTACCGCTGTGGACGATCTTATACTAGTCATTCTCCTTTTGCAGGGAATGCAAGCTCTGCTGGATCTCATTTTCACAGTTGACGGTTCTGTCTCAGAGACAGCAAAGTTCCTGGGGTATACCATTCCCAATGTTCTCTACACTTTCTCCGTAATTAATAATTGTGCACATTATCCGTATTCTCTTCTTACAATCCCTTTCCAGTTGGCTCCATCTTAGATTGACTAGCCAGTTTGTATGGAGACACCATGTACATGCACCAAGGCAACAGTAGTGGTTTCAAAGTACAGCCTACATAAGTTATCATTAACAGCAAAAATTCCCACTCTTCTTTTAAAATAAAAATAAATAAATAAAAAACTACCATTTTCCAGTTCGAATTAACTTCCACTGGAGATTGACAGAACGACCAGCAACAAAAAGGGGATAAAATAGGATAGACGGGAAGATGATTCTGTTTGATGATTCACTTACTTACAAATGGAAAGTTTTTGTTTAATTTGTGCAAACATCAGGGCGCGGAAAAAAGTTCATTATGTCTAGACAATAATTCTTCTGTTTGATAGCTTACTTGCTAAATAATGCAGGTTGAGCACAGGTGCTCTGTCGCGGTTAATACTCTCGAATGATTCTCTCCGACTAGCAGTCAATGAACTAAGGTTTTCCAAGGTAATACTTCTAATTTTCACTATAGGAATTATCACTTCACTTTCATATTTTAGCTTTTGACTTTTGGATAACAACTTATTCCTGCTGTTATTAGGTAACTAGATGCTTTCTGTAATGCCATTTGGGGTTTGGAGGGTCAGACACATGTATCCTTAACCCTGCTTTCAGCTAGGCTATGTCCTGTGGCAAACCCACAACCTTTAGGTCACAATGAGTTCCATGCATGATATGTTTAGGGACAAGATTAATAGTAAAATTAATTTAACAATAAAAAGTCATAAGAAACTAAACACCCATAACGCACCAGAAAATTCAGAGTAGGAAACTAGAGTAATACAAGCGGATTTTTGTACCCACAGTATGTCCCTTCGCAAATTTTAGAAACTACGTAGTTTTAAATTGCTTCGACTCCTGTAGTTTAGGGTTGGTTCAACTCCAATGCGAGTAATAATTCCTGTAGAGTGTTGTGCAAATGGTTGGTACGAGATGAGAGGGGTAAGGAAATAGAGAACCTGTTTTTAGAAGAAGAAATGAACTGGATTCACTCCAGGGGCTTAACACCCAAGCTTGGCTTCACACCAAATTCCTTTCGCAGGAAAGAGATCAGAGTATTTCTGAAACTGAATTTTATTTATAAACTTAATTGCTTTGCGTAAAGGCACTTACATATATTTATAGTCCAGATAACTCTTAATGGCAAAAGGCTTTTCGACTCCTATAAAATTCTAGATGCATTAACTTATTAATTTCTAGAAAGCTGCCTACCAAAGGCTTGGGGAGTAACTGCAAGGTCCATTGAAATTGAAATGAATGCACCCTCTATCTTTCTGGAACATTTAGAACCATAAAAGACAATAGTTTGATTCCTGGAAGATTCCAAAAGAAAAAACTGTAGGGAACATTGATCCAGCCACAAAGCAAAGGCAGAGCTTTGTGGTCTCTTCCTCCATCTCTCTTGGTGAAAAACCTTAAATGATTTAGCACTGATGTCCTCATCAATTTTATTTCGGTGCCGTTTCTATTGACCAAGAATCTTTTCCATATCAGGTTAGTGGGCTATTTTCCTACTTCTAACTTTCTAAGCAATCTAAAAGGTAAGATAACAATATGAAGCCATTTGGTCTTTTCCTCCTTCTCCTCTGTGGGGACCAAGATTCTTCAGGCACTAAGAGTAGTCAGTTGCATAGCATCCTTGTATAACTTTTTAGCCAAAAGTTAGAGGTTATGATCCTTGGCATTCTTAGTTGAGGGGCACCATTTTGTTTTCCTGTACGCCAGGCAACTATTGTTCCAGGATTTTATTTCCGGCTTTGTTCCTTTCCTTGCTTGTACTTGCATTAGCCATAACGAATGGTACTTGCACCAACAAATTATGTTTGCTTCTACAGTTGAAATCAGTATGGTTTGGATTCTAGGAAAGTGAAATAACAGAAATGAGATTTATACATTAAGAGATGAAAAAACAAAAATTTTGAAGGGTAAAAATTGTGGAAGATAGAAAATTATGCTTGCCAGAGATTCAGATTGGCAGTAATAGTAGGAATTTTAGTGCTGTTTGAAGGGCTAAGGGTTCTAGAGAAGACCTGGATTCTAGTTGCTTTATTTTTGTAAGAAAGAAGTGTATTTTCAGGCTTTGCCACTCCAAAGAGATAAGAGAAGTAGGGGTTCTTTTAGTCTAGAATAGAGTGGCGTGGTAATAATTACCCCCACAAACATCTTCCTCACCTCAAACACACACACACACACACACACACACACACAGAGACCATACAGAGGTATCCTAGGCACACATTCCTTTGGTAAACAAATGCTCATATTTTTCTTGTCTGACCTGCATTCTTTATGTAACGTATCTTATGTGTACTTTATAGAACATTTGCTTTCCTGTTAGGACAAGAACACTCAATATGGTGGCCACCTAGTAAACGCAGAAGTTAAAACTAAGTACTCAGTTTAAAGTTCAGGTGACTAATATAACCATGGATTCCATACGAAAATCATATTCGTATGATCTTGCGTGTGGGCCAAAGATGAAAGTTGCATATACTACTTTATGTTGCATGTGACATAAATTCTTTTCTTTTATCCTAAGATTTGCTTTCCTGACTCAAGTTTGTAATAGTACAAATGAGTGCTGACACCCAAAATAGTCGAACATGTTCATAAAAGCAGAACTTGGGGATTCAAATAGGCCTGTGTGAATAAAATTGCTCTGGAAATTCTGATAAGAGGTGAGAACCAATTTTCAGTTGACAAAGTGTTATATGTATGTGCTGTCTTACAAGATGCGTCTGCCTGAAACCTGATTTTTTTATATATAGAATAGAAAAACCCAGGAACACAATATATTTAAAATAACAGATGAGTACAAACTGAAACTACAAAAAAGGAAATGCTGAGGACTAGGAATTCACTTACAGTTGAAGCTAATTTAACCATAAACATGAAAAGATATTTCGTATTCAAACAACCAAGCCCACCCCTAAATAATGGATGAAAGTCTTAGAGCTGCAAAGTGAAAAAGGTTGAGGGAAAACTTGAAATCTGGGATTAACCATGAACAAAGAGGTGGCACCACGCAGGAAGAGCTAGGTAGGGGTGGGTTCGGTTTAAATCGGTTCAGTTTTTTGCCAAAACCGAAACCAAACCGAAATTTCGGTTCGGTTCATTTTTTTTTCGGTTTTTTTTGGTTTGGTTATTTTTCGGTTCGGTTTTTTCTGGTTCGGTTTCGGTTTTTTGTTTTTTGTTTTTTTCAAAAAATGAAAAATATTGAAATTTTAAATTTTAACATATCCAACACAATCATAACATAAGCATTCTAACTAGAATCAAAGACAATGAAAATAAACATTTAAAGTTGAACTAAAATCATCAATCAAGTCTTCCAAAGTCCAAACTAACAACCTCACAGCACAAAAATCGTACAAATGACTTAGAAAAGTTAAATTGTATGATGTTGTTCAAAGATCAAGGTTGTTTGCTTGTAACTGCATGTTGACAACTTGATTAGTAAAAGTAATGCATGGGTGGATTTATTTAGTGTGTGTTGGATTTTTTTTTATCACAAATTACCCAAGTAATCTACCCGAAATAAATGTTTATGGATTCTGTTACATGTTATATGAGAGTAGATTTGGAAAAGAAAGCTGGGGCAGAAGTAGACAGTGCTATGGAGATGGATGTAGGTACTTCAAGAGAAGGTTTGGTTCCGAAACCTTATAAAAAAAGGTCGTACCCAGTGCACAAGGCTCCCGCTTTACGCAGGGTCTGGGAGAGGTGAAATAATAGGTTAGGGTTTAGAGTTTTTATAGGCCTTTTTTTAATATTTTGAGCTTAAAGTTTGGCAACACATTGGGTTTAGCACATTTTAACTTACAAATTCGGTTTAGAAAATAATACCCAAAACAAATAATTAAATAAAAAAATTAATTTAATTAATTCGGTTCGGTTCGGTTTCTAGATCACTAAAACCGAACCAAACCAAAAGAATTCGGTTCGGTTCGGTTTTTTCAATTTGGTTCGGTTTTTTCGGTTTCGGTTCGGTTTGGTTTTCCGTTTTTTTCGGTTTTCGGTTTTTGGAACCCACCCCTAGAGCTAGGTGAGTGATAATTGTAAATGAAGTTAGTTAGCTGAATTTTAAGAGGGTCGGGTAGTAGAAGGAAAAGACTATATTATTTGGTTTGAGGTCGGGCTGATCTAATTGTTTTGAAAGAGACAGAAAACTGTAGTTCATAGGAAGTTAATAAGCAGTTTTTGGGGTAGAAGATAAAGATTGGGTGTCAATACAGCATGTGGGAGTACCATCACCTGAACTACTAATGTTTAAGAATCAATTGGAGTTATTTTTCTCTGTTTACAAATCGAGGGGAGAAATAAATCTGATTGGTGGCTGTCTGGAATCTATGCCTCTTACAAAGCTAGGGAGAGGGCACAATGAAAATATTATTGACTAACTAATTAAAAATTAACAGGATGGTTAGTTATATCCATTCGATTATATATTGCCCTTTTAGGATTTTCAGGTTTGATTAAGAGGTTGCCTGCCGCACATATCATAATAATGAAATATGAATAAAGCTTATATTTTGTAATATTGAGTTGAGCACATGTGAAACTGGGTTCATGCGTAGGAATACCCAATGATTAGTTAGAGCATGTGACGGTAATGGCTTTTTTTTTTTTTTTTTGGAAGAGACAGTAGTGGCTTAATAGACCCAATATTTTATCATTTGTGAAGTAAGGGTTAGAATACCCTTCTCAGCAACTTTTTCATGAAATAATTTAAGCAGGTCTCTTTTAAATGCATATAGCAAATTATCTGGATTTTAAAAATTTGGTGCCAATACAGATGTTGAATTTTTCTGTGACGTGTGCAGGGTATGAAGCCTCTCAAGTAGAATTTGTCTGCTGGGAAATACTTGTTTCAACTTTCAAGTACTAATGTTTGCTTTCTCTTTTCCTTTTTTGAGGTAATTGTTCAAGTACTAATGACTTTGGATGCCACTTTTCTTTTAAAACCTACTCTCCTCTTGACTTTGATCAACCTGCCTTCCAATAGTTTACTTTGCATGACAATTCTTATTTGTCAGATACTGGTATATGCAGTTTATGCACAGACATTGTTTCGAGGCTAAAAGGATGAATGCGCTCTCAGCTTGTATTCTTCGAGACAGCAAAGCTAGAAGAAAAGGCTTAGATTCTTCGACACAGCAAAACTAGAAGAAAAGGCTTGTTGGTTCATTTGGTTGGACGGTTGGACGGTTGGACCATTGCTTCTAATTGCCATCGTTCAATGTGTCTTTCAAAAGAATAAACTAATCATAGGGTTGGGCTTACTGTTGCTCTTCAAATTAAGTTTTGGAGTTCTTGATATTTTCGATAATTAAATTTACAGAAGGAATGCCTTTAGGATGAACTGTGTGTGTTTGAGATTGTACACTCACTTTAGGCTATGTTTGGACGGGAGATTTTTTATCAAATCTTAAGGGATTGAGGCCAAGTTAGTAAAAAAATTGACTACAAAACGTTAGACGTAAGGGATTGAAAATGCACTGCAGATGCTTGTACTAGGACTTGAAATTATGTTCCGTTTATCAAAGTCTATTAGGAATTCTGTACCCATTTTCGTTAGAATCGAAGCCCATCATGCCTCGTGCACGTGGGCCTTGTAGGCAGTGGCAAAGCTACAGAGGGACTAGGAGGGGCGGCCGTTCCTCCCCTCGCTGGAAATTAAGCCCATGAACGTGGTTCCGCCCCTCTGGTCTTGTCGGAATGAATGGTGCACCTGCACTGTAGTCTGCAGATGGTTTCTGCCTTTCTGTGTTTCTGAGCAGCTTGTGTAATTTTTTTTTTAAATCCCCTAAATGGAACGGCATCGTTTCATTTAAGTATTGAAAAAAAAAAACTCCTTAAATAAACAAATGATGTCATCGCCATCATTAATTGCCTAAAAAGATAGAAAAATTTAAAGGGGACCACTATCCCCGACTCCCCGTGCCTTCCATTTTTCAAAGCAGACCTTCACTTTTTCAAACCTAATCCCCTTTTAACCAATCACAAGACCCATGCCTTGCATTTGCGAGGAACATGATATTATCATTCCTAACATGGAGAATTTGTATTTTGTACCTGGAAAATCAAGGCACAAAGCTCCAAAAATCACAAACTTTCATTACTATCATGTGGAACTTTATTTTCAAGTCCTTGATATGCAACTAAATGAATTGAATGATCGCTTTAATGAGGTAAACACCGAGTTCCTTCTTTGTATGACATGTTTGAGTTCGGTAAATAATTTTGCATCTTTTGACAAAGCAAAAATTGTTCGTTTTGCCCAACTTTATCCTCAAGATTTTGATCGTATGGATCTCATGAAACTTCGCCGGCAACAATTGTAATTTGTTTGTATTGATTAATTATGGAAGACATTATTATATAAAAAGATTTAGTTGTTGCCATTTTTCTTTAACCTTGCACTCTTTTAAGTTCGCCATTCCCTTCGAGAAATCCTGGCTTCGCCACTGCTTGTAGGATATAGTTGATTACAACTTGTGGGATAGAGCTTTATGGAACTAAAAGATATGCTCTCAGTGGCGTTGCCACATCCCGGCCAGGGGCGGACCACTTCCTGAGTCTGCTCAACCACCGTAGCACGATATTGTCCGTTTTGGGCCACGACCATGCCCTCACGGTTTTGTTTCTGAGAACTCACAAGTAACTTCCCAGTGGGTCACCAATCATGGGAGTGTTTTAGCCACCTTCTCGCTTAACTTCAGAGTTCCGACAGAACCCAAAGCCAGTGAGCTCCCAAAAGGTATCGTGCTAGGTAGGGATGGAAATATCCATTTAAGGATCACTCCCCTGGGCGATGTGGGATGTCACAATCCACCCCCCTTAAGGGCCCGACGTCCTCGTCGGCACACTTCCGGCCATGGATGGCTTTGATACCATTTCTAGATTTATGCGTGTCATCCTTGCACATGGGCCATGCTAATCTTCTTAGTATCGTTCCAATTTTTATCGGATGTCTTTGTCACATCCCCGCCTAGGGTGGACCATTTCCCAGGCCTGCTCCATCACCGTAGCACGATATTGTCCGCTTTGGACCCCGACCACGCTTTCACGATTTTGTTTCTGGGAACTCACGAGCAACTTTCCAGTGGGTCACCCATCATGGGAGTGCTCTGGCCACCTTCTCGATTAACTTCAGAGTTCCGACGGAACCCGAAGCCAGTGAGCTCCCAAAATGCCTCGTGCTACGTAGGTATGAGAATATGCATTTAAGGATCATTCCCCTGGCGCGATGTGGGATGTCACAAGCGTCGTCACTGGTCCATTGAATGCTTGTTAGGTCTAGAGTTTATCTCTTTTGAAATCAATACACACAGTTTTAGTGGTGTCATTGATCTGTTAATGTCACATGTTCAAAACTACCACAACTATCCAATAAACGTTTGTCATATGTCGTCATCGGTTGCATGAGAATATGTCTCTTTAAACGTGACATTTCATTAATATCATCTAAATGTTGTGTTTAGAAAATTCATTTGATTTGGAGACTATTTTACATTCATATCTGTCAAACAAACCAATGATTATAGTAATTCATACGGGATGACTAAATAATCTTGAGATTGAATGAATTTTTCTAAGATGATAGTTATATGATAATAAAGAGAATGAACAACTATGATTATAATATTTCCAAACCTTTAAGGAAAGGGAACTTCATTTTTTTACTTCAAAATAATGGGATTAGTTATGGGGCTCACACCACATCGAACTTCATAATTATCTTTGCAAAAAATTAATTCAATTCGAAACTATTTGTCCATTTAATTATCATGAATTTTTTTAATATTTTTTAGAATATAATGTTTGTCAATTTATTTGAATTCAATTAAATGTCGCAAACATTTTTAATTTAGCTAGTGTTTTGTAAAGATGATTTATGAGGAGTACGAGGAAAGTAATTATCCTTACAAACTGGCGGATGAGGAAAGTTTTGCAAAGACCAATGCTGGATGGGCACTTAAAGGCAGTAGCCAGCCGGCCCATAATGTTTTACACAAATATCAAGGCTAAGTCATTGTCGACGTGTCGTGCAACAATCTCTTTAATCCCACCAATAACATTTCCATATAATTTTTTCTGACAAGCGACCAACAACGTAAATAAATAGATAAATAAATAAATAAATAGCAAAAGGAGGATACAAGGAGAAGACGGGAAGCGAGAGAATAATTATCTTTCCTGGAGTCGAGTCCTTGTTAACAAAGAAAGACTTGATAGGAAGATAGAAAGGGGGAGTGGAGGGAGGAAGATGGCTACCATAAGAATTCCGCAGGTGTATTTTGCTGCTGCGACTTGTCTGTTACTTTTAGGGGCCATCTCCAGCTTTCAACCACAGGTAAGTTGGTCTTGTCAATTAATCTCCTTTGATCTTATCCCCTGTTTGTTCTGTTTCCTTTCTTTGACTCATAATCAATTATATGAATATGGTGAGAATTGGAGTTTCAATTGTTGAAGCTAACGCCAGTCGTTGGTTGCTGGCCAAAAATCAAACTAACGTTTAACACTCTCCACAGTTGATTGCAGCCAAACCACTTTCCAAGACTAAGCTTCAATCTCCTATTCTTCAGGTTTTTCTCTTTTGCTTCCTCATCTATCAATGCTATGGATAATACAATACCTGTTTTTTTTTGGGGGTTGGGGGTGTTAGGCTAATAACTGAGACTTCCATTCCATTATTAATTTGTGATTCACCCCCAAACAGGACTCGATCATTAAACAGATAAATGAAAACCCCAAGGCTGGATGGGAAGCTGCCATGAATCCTCGATTCTCCAATTACACTGTGAGTCTTTCAACCCCAAGGATATTATTATGCTCACATTTAAACGAATTTCCTGCCCTCCTATTGCCTCACAGATGCATCTATTGCTTATTTTTGTATTACTACTAGGTCCCAAGATTTTTCCTTTTCTTTCCACAGGTTAGCCAGTTTATGCACCTCCTGGGAGTCAAACCAACACCCCAAAAGGACTTGCAGAGTTTTCCTATCAAAACTTATCCAAAATCTCTCAAGTTGCCAAATAATTTTGATGCCAGAACCGCTTGGCCTCAGTGTAACACCATTGGAAGAATATTAGGTCAGTTGGTGATTTCGTTTTATATGTTGTTATCCCGCTTTTTCTTTGATTTAAAAATTCAAAGGCAAAAGGTGCTGATGAATTCCCCTTTTTATGTCAAATGCTGGATCAATTTCTTTAATGAAGATCAGGTAATAATTTGTCCTACATCCCAATGATATATTGTCCAATAAATTGATGCCGAAAATTCAAGGGGAAAATTTGGTTTTCCTGGAAATATAGGGTCACTGTGGCTCTTGTTGGGCTTTTGCTGCTGTTGAAGCACTATCAGATCGTTTTTGTGTCCATTATGGCATGGTAAAAGCTGCACTCTTTCTCTTTTCCATTTCTAATTTACATTGACTTCTTTTGTATATTTTGTTCTCTTTTTTAATTTGCTTTATGCTTTATTGCAGAATATCTCTCTGTCTGTTAATGATCTCCTAGCGTGTTGTGGTTTCATGTGTGGAGCTGGTTGTAATGGGGGATATCCAATTTATGCTTGGCGGTACTTTATCCACCATGGTGTTGTCACTGAAGAGGTAGCAAATTCATGTACCAATCCTACCTCTCCAGTGGAATCTCAAAACGATAGTAGATAAACCTTACCTCTGTTCTTGCATCTGCCTATTATGCCATCATTTGTAGAACTATTGTCAGATACATAATGTTTTCAAGATCATAATCAGTACCAATCCTAACCTTCACATCAAATGCAAGTCTACCTTTGATATTGAAATGATATCTTAGTGCTCTCTTACCTTAGAACTCGAAGCCTTCTTGCAACATAAGAACCATTCCCAAACCTTGCTCCCAAGCTCAGTCTTCCTCCATTAGAATGACTGTCACTGCTTACTTTAGAATTAAAAGTTTTTCTTGCGATGTAGGTATAATTCTTAGCTCATCCTAATTCCTAAACAAGGAGGTCAGCATAACTGCAGAAAATAAGGGAGGTCATTGTGTTACCTAAAGACAATGGGTTCCTTTGTATTTCCAACCAATTCTCACCCAAAAGGGAAGTCCAACTCTCGCAACATAGGGACCATTCCTAACCCTTGCATTAAAAGCGTACTGTTCTTCCATTGTTAGAATGATTGTCAGTGCACGCGAATTGCAAGTCTTTCTTCTCACTTAGGAATAATTCCGTAGTTCATCCTAAACAGGGAAATCAATATAACAAAAAAAAAAAGAGGTCCCTGTGTTAGTCTCTCCATTTAATCTGCACCAGTCCCGTCTGATATAAAATTTAAGGGTTCTTTCTTTCATTAGGTTCATAAACAACTTTTTAATACTGCATGAAGTCCTGATTAGTGTTCCATCTGGCAGTGTGACCCATACTTTGATTCAACTGGCTGCTCGCACCCTGGTTGTGAGCCTGCTTATCCGACTCCAAAGTGCGTTAAAAAATGTGTAGATGGGAACCAGATCTGGAAGAATTCAAAGCGTTATAGTATCAGTGCGTATAGAATCAACTCTGATCCTCACAGTATCATGGCAGAGGTTTATAGGAATGGACCAGTTGAGGTTGCATTCACTGTTTACGAGGTAAGTTCTTGTTCCATAATTGAAAACAGCAATTTAGGTGTACAATGTTCTTAACACTTTCTGTCCTTTTCTCTTTTCCTTTTCCTCCCCATTTGTGATATTGGAAAAGAACTAAATATGATTATTTGCCTTCTTCATATGATTATCAGTCTTCACTGAGATTTCAACTCCTAATGCATTGATGGCCTGGCACTCCAAACTTGATATAATCTTATAACATTTTCAAGAACATTTTACGTCTCTTCACAACTATCATTCATATTAAAAGTGAAGGGGTTTTGGGGAGAAACTAGGGGGAGAGAGGGTGGCGCAGGGGGTGATAATACCTACAGAGTTGCAGCTTTTTTTCATTGAACACAACTGAGTAGTATGCATGAGCCGAGTGTGACACTGTAATGAACACAACTGAACTCATGGTCAGCTAAAAGTCAAGAAGATTAGAGAAAAAAAAAATATGGCATCATCACTTTGCATAAACAAATTATATCCCCATTTGAGCAGTCTTATCTTTGCTGTCAATTTGGTCATCAGACTTTATCCTAAACTTAATTCAGGATTAACCCTCATATACTATCTTGGATATGTGATCCTTGATTCTCCGGTGTCCTTGGTATTGTGGTTGCAGTGGGATAAGGAAATGGGATTGTGTTGGATAATTCCAAAGGATTCTTTCTCTTTTCAGTGAATCTTTTGCTATCTCTTGGAAGGGTAAGAAATCAAAGGTGATGTGGAGTTGTATGATTGCTCTGGTTTCATTTATTTGGATGGAAAGAACCGAAAGATTTTTGAAGATTATGGTGGCACTATGGAGTATAGTTAAGTTTGGTCGGCTCTTTGAGCTTCAGTTTCCCCCAATTCAAAAGGAATTGCATCTCCTTAATCTGCCTATTGGAAAGCTGCCATGTCCTAGTTCTGGTTAGGCCTTTTGTTCTTTTCAGTTGGGATGTTTTTGTCTCAGTTCTGCTTCATCTTTTTAGGGGTGGTCTGGCCACTGCCTTTTGTTCTTTTCCTCTCTTTATTCCTTAAGCTTTCTTTCCGAAGAAAACAAAAAGTGTGTTGGTTTTTCTGTTAAATGTCATGACATGTGAAATGCCAAGTTTATATACTAGGAACTTTGATGACCAGTTGCAAGAAATTGACATTTAAAGAACAAACAACGGGAATTGTTATTGACACTCCAAACTTTGTATATTTAGAAAGAAAAATACTCTTATGCGGAGTGCACAATTAGATTTTTGGAATGCCAATAATAGTTCGCTAAACTCAACGCAAATTTTGTTTTGTTTAAACTGTTTTACAGGACTTTGCACACTATAAATCAGGAGTTTACAAGCATGTTAAAGGTGATGTATTGGGAGGTCATG